CTTGTGTCTCTGTATGCTAACTTTGTGTTGTTTAGAGTTTGTTTTGAGGATTTCATGTAAGAGTGAGGGTGGTTTTTATACGGTAGTAATATCATTGCCTTGATTGATAAGAGAAACACTGTTTGTACACGGCTTAATGCGTATATTGTTCACAGACTGGAACAACAAAAATTACAATCATGTGAACAGAATCACAATCCAAACTCAAATTCAATAGAACAACGGAACCAACTCTAGATTTGTGGTTCATTACGGTAAGGAAGCTTTGAGATTTCTTCAATACGCCTAGAACTATTCCGAGAAACAAATTTGGGAATGACTAATTTCTAACTGAATGGAATGATGCACTTTCCTCCATACAATCATTGTCCTATATACGGCAAGGGATCTCTGTATCAGGACAATGTCCTGGCCACTGTTACCTTAAGAGGAAATAAACTTGTCTTCTTGTGACCAACATGATGTTAGGAAAGATCAAGTGTAATTCTTAGTGTAAGAGGTAATTATGTGGTCCAAGGGGAGCTTTACTGTCATATTGATCAGCCCCTTAAGCTCAGACTATAGGCGCACGAGTAGATATTGTGGTCTAAATAGTGGATGTCGAGATGAAAAATACATCAATCATGAATACAGTGTATAAATATAGACTTCACCATGGAAACGTCGCTAGTAAACCGACACATATAGACCTAAAGATAATTTGTGTAGGTGGTTGAAATTCACGAAAGCTTGTCCATGTCACTTTCAGAACGAAAAAAACACAATTAAGTCGTACGAACGAGTTAGCTGGAAACACTTTTTATCTCTTCAGTACAATTAAAGAATATGTAGAAATATAATTTCTTTTAATTTTCGTTCGAAAAAGTGGCACCAGTAAGCCTATGTATATAAATGTATCTACAGATTGTGAACGGAGATTTGACATCATTTTTTTCAAAATAATTTTATTCCACATATAAAAATACAATACGGGCACCAGGCAAAGCTTATATTAATCCTCTCCCTGTGACATTTACAGTTCATAAACATCATTACACATCATATGAACAGAACTGAATATAAATTGTACAATTGGTTTTAAGGTTGAGATAAAGATATACTTAGTTACAATAGAGATTAGAGATAATCTAAAAAGATATTAACCACCCAGATAGAAAGTATTACTTAACTGACAATATAAATTTACACAAATATATATAAACCAGTACTGATAAATGGTTAGGCAAATCAAACTTACAACCAGTTAAATTTATATATAAAAGGTGGTTGTAAAATTGAAACGTCTGGTATCGCTGATGTATCTCTGAACAATATCTTGGGTATTATCGATACAGCAGAAGACGGTTACCTTTTCAGAGCACCAGGTCTGATCCGGTTGGGTATCATCGATAAAGCAGAAGACGGTTACCCTTTCAGAGCACCAGGTCTGATCCAGTTGGGTATCATCGATAAAGCAGAAGACGGTTACCCTTTCAGAGCATAAGGTCTGATCCATTTGTGTATCACCGATACAGCAGAAGACGGTTACCCTTTCAGAGCACCAGGTCTGATCCGGTTGGGTACGATTCATATAGAAGAAGACGACTACTTTGGCCTGTTACCAGGCCTGATATTTATTGAACAGTTTCCTGTAAAGATACGCTCACATTTTCCTTTGTTTCCATTCATTATTTTGAATTCATGAAATCTTCCGGTGTCCCCGTGCAGAACCTAGAAGTGCACCTGTATGATGTAGCATCACTGACGAGTCCTAGAAGGACGAAACAGCTGTATGATGTAGCATCACTGACGAGTCCTAGAAGGACGAAACAGTTGTATGATGTAGCATCACTAACGAGTCCTTGAAGGGCGAAACAGTTTTATGATGTAGCATCACTGACGAGACCTAAAAGGACGAAACAGTTGTATGATGTAGCATCACTGACAGGATCTAGTACGAAACACCTGTATGATGTAGCATCACTGATGAGTAAAACATATGTATGATGTAGCACCACCGACGAGTGAAACATCTGTATGATGTAGCATCACTGATGAGTAAAACACCTGTATGATGTAATATCACTGACAGGATCTAGTACGAAACAATTATATAACATAGTCTAACTCACTAGTTTTCTCGGTATCTTAGTTTAACTGTGTATCTAAAGGTGTTATTCTCTTGTGCGTCTTTGTGCTACACTGGTCGATGTGGGCTTTGCTTGTAATTTGTAGTGTTACAGGGCTTTCTGATATCTGATATTAATCTTCAATTCCGCTGAGATGTTTACAATCTGTCACCGAGTCGAGGAATGCTTTATGTCACTGTGTTATGTTTGGTTTACTTAGACAGGTCGTTTACGGTTACAATGTCATATTTAATTAGCTTCCGGCTTCCATTATTAGTTTAAAATAGCTACAATTTGTGGTGATTATTTTCTTCTTAATGCTGTTAATACTGTGAATGGATTAACAACTTGTAGTTTGTTGTAGTCTGTAGATGACGTCATCCTGAGGAGGTGAACATAATCAAAAAAATATTCAAACTTAATGGAAAGTCACCTTCCGGCTTCTGTTACAAGTTTACCTATGTTTTGAAATACTTTGACCGTATGTTTTTGTATTTGATCTACTGTACTGGAATCCTATTGTATTATTTGTGTGTCTATTGGTGTGTACATGGTTCAGCATCTGTATCTTATTTACACACTGTGGTGAAGTGGTCTGGCTTTTTCTAAGCCTCCGGAATTCGATTTCTCAACCGACCGAACGTGAAATTCAATTCATTCCCCTTTTACAAATTACTTTTATATAGAGAAACCTGTGTGCAGTAATTATGGAGAGCTCATAACCAGGAACAGAGATTAAATAAATTTCGTTTTAAAACAACCAGGAACAGAGATTAAATACGTTTCGTTTTTAAAACAACCAGGAACATAGTTTAAACATGTTTCGTTATAAAAGTGCTAAGTTTCCGTAATATTTGGATATTGATAGTGGTCATTAATTCATATAACTTAACAATACTTTGTCTTAATCAGTTGTATTTATCGATGTATCGATGATGTATCGATGTATCGATGTATGATATTCTGTAGATCAGAAAGTAATGCACGTTCAGGAAAGTAGTGAAGTTCAAGATGAAGTCGAGGTAACGGTGTGTGGTCATCTGGTCCCACAAACACTGTCTATGTTCTTGATTGTATCCGAGATATATACACTAGATAACATTTCAGATAAAACTTTAGTACCAAAACGATCACACCTAAATAACCTGCTATGGAACCATGGCTTCATTACAATAGACACCTTCCGCTCACTTTCAAAGCGAAACAATACCAACGATTTCTCAATATACATTTCTGTAGGTATGTCCGCTGATATCCACGTCATATCAGACTAGTATCATATGAAAACACTGTCAGCATGTTTAGTTCACTTTCAGCTGAAATAACTTTTAGTAACATATTTATGTATACAAACTACAAATCTTCTATTCAGTTCGTGAATAATTCTAGATAGAGACTTCTTTTCGTGTAGAACTTTATTTAAATCAAATCAGTCGCTATTATTGTCGGCAGAACCGAATAGGATCGGACCAATTTTAATTTTCAAAGGAAGTATTTGATTGGCCAAAAATAAAATCGACCGATCAAATACGTCATTTGAAAAGTACGATAGAAGCTTCTGTGGTAATATCGGAAGGAAGAAAGATCACAGATTTGTTTTCATGTACACTGCTGCAATTGGTACTCAGAAAGGTGAGTATTGTGCTACAGCTATTGTCATACTCCCGGACTTGTAATGTTAAGAGTAGTGTTACTCCACGTTTCTGTTGAAATTGAAATTATATTCTTTAGTGCAAATTGAAATCATATTATGTGTTTAAACATGGAATATTGAGTCACTGTCAACAGTGTTGTGTTTGTTGATTTTATTGTGTCTGCTTGCAATTTACCACATAATTTCATACTTTCTTAAGGAATGTTTGTACCAGTTGATTTTCTTCACAGATATAAATAGATCGCTGTACGTCATTCCAGTACGTCACAGCCAGATTCTGTCCCACAAAGATATATAAGGCCATAAGACTGTCCGACATGGATAATTGTCGTTATATCGATCTCTCCAGGATGATTAATTGATTTTGTTTTTTATCTCGATGTTTCTAAAGAGATATTTGACACATGTTATTCAAATTTTATTTGAAAGACCCTTTTAGCCTTTAGTTTTAATTCAATATTGATTTCATTTACATTTAGTGATAAACAAGACGGTGGTATGTTCTAATATTATATACCTTCAATTAACGTTGATAACCTTTTATGGAATAAGACAATAATAATAATAATAAAATTTCAGACATTGTTGTTGTCGTCATCGTTGTTGTTATTGTTGTTGTCGACGTTGTTGGTGGTGTTGTCGTCGTCGTCGTCGTTGTAGTCGTTGTTGTAGACGTTGTTGTTGTAGTCGTTGTTGATGTTGTCGTTGTTGTTTAAGCAGAATTAGAAGCATACTTGAATGGACTTTCAAAATCAGATGCATGTTGATATTTTTCTAGGGTAACTAAACCAACTGAAGATGTTACAAGGACGACGGACTAGGTGTCCGATGGTAGTCTCGTACAGACAATAGGCTTTATAGTGAACTTATACATCAATGTACGTGCATATCTATAAACTGGTTTCTTAAATAAACACCTTATTTTAATGCTCGCCTTTATTTTCATGTCGGATTCCATTACATACAAAAACGATCATACCATAAAAAAATCCAATGATAGATAAAGACACGATACATTTCCAGTATAAATGTTTCGCTATCACGCAGCCTTTCATGTCGCCAGCAAGTCGTGTTTTATCGTTTGATAATATATATATGTACTTCCCCAGCTATGCGCTAAACAGTCTTTATTATATTAACAACATCTGCTGAAAGGCAAAAGACAATTTATACTTGCACAGGCTGAAAATAAAGGGGATTGAATATCTTAAACTGGTATATTTATCCTATGTAAAATCTCATAAAATGACGCATCTGTTTCGCCGCAGAGCATCCTGCACTCTCACAGCCGTGGGCTTATGACCATAATCGATGAAATCCACGGCCTTCATGAGTTCCTTAAACAGTAACACGATATGCCAGTTGAATTTTGCCGAACATTCTACGTAGCCACATTTCCATTGTTTCTTTACTAAATTTGCGACCTCTCGTCGAAACTTCCCACGCTCATCTGACAAATCATGTTTGTTTCCGACAACAAAAAGTGGAACGTCATGCATATTGCGACTTTCCAAAATCTGATCGCGTAATGATTTAATATACTGGAAACTATCCTCGGAAGTGACGTCATACACTAAAATATAGGCCGTGGCATTTCGTAAGCCATAGCCCCGGAAGTCCGTAAATTCGTACAGAGAATTCACTGGGAAGTATGGAATGTATGGGCAATCTATGATTTTTAATTCATATAGGTGATCGTTGATGATGACAGACGGAAGGTACACGTGTTTCCGGTCTGTTGGCTCGTAGTCCTCCTCGAAGTGGTTGCACACGAACTGTTTGACAATGGAAGTCTTTCCTACACCCGGTGCTCCCAACACAGCCAGTTTTATCTTCTGCTGGTCCGAGTCGATGGTCAGATGAGAGGTCGTCATGGTTACATGTGGTCATTCTGGGAAAAAAAGATAAAGCAATATTTAAAACGGTTTGGTCGTGAATAAAACATATTTATAATTCAAACAAAAAATAGCATTTTACATGTATCTTACTGCGGGTTTAGCGAAGTGAGCTAATATGTTTTAATGATCTGTCTTGCACTGTTAAAATCAATTGCACTTCAATGCCTAACACTTGTATGACATGTGCACTGTTACTGTGAATTTCAAATCAGGGATCAGGTTTAATCTGATAGAAAAAGAAATGACATATAAAAATTTTCCTGCAGTTTTAATGCCTTGATACTGTATACCTAGACATTTCGCCCCATTTAATTTTCGTTCTTCTCGTTCTAGAAAAGGAAGGGAGAATTTAAGACAAGAGCGAAAAATTGTTGCTTATATGACTCTTTGATATGATCCCTAGAGGGCGAAATGAACATGGGGCGAATTAGTGTATAATGGTACAAGAGCGAAAACGATCTGGGCGAAAATATCCCGGTAGACAGTACCGAGATATGATTGAATTCACAAGCCGACTGTACCTCAACAGTCAGCCTAAAGGAAGGAGTCATCCATTCTACAGAACACTAACACGAAATATTCCATTTTCTTTTGGTACAGAAGGAAATAATACGATCAAGTTGACGATGTGGCTGTACAGACTCCCGATCAATAGTCACGGTGGCTGTATTATGGACATTTGTGGTCAGCATTGGTCAATCTGTAGATAACCATAGAACCTAATTCCCCGTGATTAATCGCCTGATTGTCTAGTATTAGGTGTGACCAGTAGAAACAAGGACCGTAATATGGCAAATGTTTCCTTAATTAATTACTTTGTGTAAACCTGGGAGCAATTTGTTATTCCCGGAGGAAAAACCACGTTCTGACCTGCCCGGAGTGTCAACCTTCAGTCTAGGCCATCATTCAGGGTAGCGTAACACGCAGATATAATACTTAACTCTATAGACCACAAGATGAATCGTTTTACATTTGTCAGCTGTTCACAGGATAGCTTCCTGTAGACTGGATTGCATGTCTTAGTTTTTTTAACTTCAGCTAGACTTCTCCTCGAAAATACGACGACACGTCAGGGCTAACAGTCCTGTCATTCTGTCATTGGTTGATATCTGTGTTTACTGCGGGGTAGACACGTCAGGGCTAACAGTCCTGTCATTCTGTCATTGGTTGATATCTATATTTACTGCGGGGTAGACACGTCAGAGCTAACAGTCCTGGCATTCTGATTGGTTGATATCTAAAATCAACTGCAGGGTGTTCTTTACAAAGAAAAAATGTCTGTATTTAAAGATCGCCAGAATGTAGCTAGTATTCATTTCGTCAGTACTATGTGTGTTCAATGGAACATTTATTTGGGGAAAAAATCCTTATGCAAGTGAGTAACTGTGGAATTTGAAAATATTTCGTTTCAAAAGATTTTCGATACATTTACCATGGCAATTTTTCCCTGATTATCCCAATTTTTATCAAGATGGTATTCCGAGATTCAGACCCAAACAAAGACTCATTGAATGAATTGACCAATCGGCGTCCTTTTTGTCTACATTTTGATCATGATTGTATTCCTGACATGTCTGATTTTCAACGAGTGTAATGAAGCTAAGAAAAATAGCACTAAAGCAGACACTCATGTCTATTTTCGAGTGATCAGTGTTTGGCCCCCTACGAAGTTCCTAGTACAAGGTATATACACTGATCAGTGTCGGGCCCCCTACGAAGTTCCTAGTACAAGGTATATACCCTGATCAGTGCTGGGCCCCCTACGAAGTTCCTAGTACAAGGTATATACACTGATCAGTGTTGGGCCTCCTACGAAGTTCCCAGTACAAGGTATATACACTGATCAGTGTTGGCCTCCTACGAAGTTCCTAGTACACGGTATATACCCTGATCAGTGTCGGGCCCCCTACGAAGTTCCCAGTACAAGGTATATACACTGATCAGTGTTGGGCCCACTACGAAGATCCTAGTACAAGGTTTATACACTGATCAGTGTTGGGCCCCCTACGAAGTTCCCAGTACAAGGTATATACCCTGATCAGTGTTGGGCCCCCTACGAAGTTCCTAGTACAAGGTATATACCCTGATCAGTGTTGGGCCCCCTACGAAGTTCCTAGTACAAGGTATATACACTGATCAGTGCTGGGCCCACTACGAAGTTCCTAGTACAAGGTATATACCCTGATCAGTGTTGGGCCTCCTACGAAGTTCCCAGTACAAGGTATATACACTGATCAGTGTTGGGCCCACTACGAAGTTCCCGGTACAAGGTATATACACTGATCAGTGTCGGGCCCCCTACGAAGTTCCTAGTACAAGGTATATACACTGATCAGTGTTGGGCCTCTTACGAAGTTCCTAGTACATGGTATATACACTGATCTAAGTGACATTCAGTTTTCAACACTCCATGTTTGATAACATTTACTTGTCGAGGGATGTTTAAATTAAAATGTCACTCAATCAATTATTGATGAAACACAAAAACTTCAATAATGCTTTTTTTTTTTAAATTATCACTTAATTATTTTACAAAAACACAAAAATATCAGTTTTCAGAGATGTAGGTCTGTCAGCATTCCTTTTTATTCTGATATGAATCCCGTTCTTTAGAATTTCTCTCAATTTTCACACTTCGGTGTCTTTTTCTTGTAATCGTTTTGCCTCTTTATTAATATAGTATTTTTGCCTTCGTTGTTATACAATATATACTTGTACAATCAAAGGTCCTGGATTTGTATAGTATAGCGGTATTTGAATTGCTACGTCGTATTTCATTACATGAATACTGAAGTATTCAGGGTGTTTTGGGTGTTTTAACACAAACTCGGTAGCGTTACTGTGGACATTTGTAGATATGTGTAACTCATAAACAAAGTCTGATACCTATATGTGTTTCTGTGTAAATATATAGTAATGTTGAGAGGTTGAATACAGTGTGTTGGTGAACTCTACCTGGTTATCTAGTCAGTTAAACATGAATGTAAGAAGGTGCTATGGACAGCGTGCTAGTCATCGATTATCTTACCTGAAATCGACGGCTAAAATATACTTATTTTCTGAGTATGTTATCATGTCCATTCCGTTTTAAACAATTTTATACACCATTTCGTTATCAATCGTCAAACAGCAGAACAGGTTCCAACATATCCGAACTAAGAATATAATTGAAACTATTTAGTTTTTATACAATTACATGTGTTTAAAACACTTTTAAGAGAACATGATAATAAATCTTTGATTGGTTGGTTGGTTTTTTACAGGTTTCCCAGCTCCGTGACTCCTCCCATCTCTGTGACTCCTCCCTTCTCTGTGACTCCTCCCATCTCAATGACTCCTCCCATCTCAGTGACTCCTCCCATCTCATCGATTCCTCCCATCTCAGTGATTCCTCCCATCTCCGTGACTCCTCCCATCTCCGTGCCTCCTCCCATCTCCGTGACTCCTCCTATCGCCGTGACTCCTCCCATCTCCATGGCTCCTCCCATCTCTTGGCGTTATCTCACCGACGAACGTCAGTATTCTGATCACGTCATTATCATATATAAGGTTTACTGAAACAATATAACGACGGACAACAAGTAGTGTATGACACGTCAGATTTTGACGAGTCCCGGAATGTGAAGTCTACACGAAAACACTGTATAGATGGTACAGGAACACACATAACATAAACCATGTCTTTTACTCGTGAGAAGAGCTTGTTGTTGAATCTAAAATCCTTAACGATACAGGCAAATTAATTTCCGATACATCTTGGACCGGTTGCAAACCTTGGTTGTCGGACAATAACAGAATCCAGTCCGTCTGGATGTAACTGGTGACAGACTGCATCACTTGCTGTGATTGCAATATAATCGGAAATCTTTCTCTCTACTCTAAATAAATATAAAACACGCGAGGAATGAACCCGCTGATTGGGAGATTAGTCTACAAGTACGTGACGTAAAACTAATTAGCTTGTCTAGCAATGCAACAATCTTTTCCGGATTACGAGATTTCAACGAGATTTCATAAGTAAGTGTATTGAGTGTGAAATCTGAAAGATATGTCTGCGTTAGTTATTGCAGGTCCAGACAGTTATTCTGCTGTTAGGTAAAGCACCAGACGATGAAACATACATCCCTCGCCAAAAATGTACATTTATATAAAGTCTAATTTATCGGTACAGAAAATCTAACAGAGGTCATTATTTATTTCAATGCCTCCGCTAGGAATCGAACCCGGCTTACTAGTCTGACGCTCAACCAATCGAGCTAAAGAGAAGTTCTCTCTAGCCGAGTGGTATATTGCGGCTAGTATTTTACCAGGGTTACATACTCCCCCTCCTGGAAATAACTTGTCCTCGAGTTTTCAGGGGTTACAGCAATGCTGGTGGGGCATGGCTAAGTACTATTCCTAGGTCCCTACATGGACGCCAATGTAACAGACGTCATTATTAGTATTTTACCAGGGTTGCATGTAAACATATGGACTTTAATGCATGACTGCATTTCTTATATGTTCTCAACCAATAAGGAATGTTTCTCATTTTTCTCCTTTTTTTCATTTCAATTCTAGTAAGTAAGCAAAACCCTCGAAATTCTTACAATGGAAAATATACTTCTAGTTAATTTCCGGAATGTTGACGAGTTATAGAAATGTATTATCCGTCATTAAACTGCATACTCTAGTGAGATAGGAAAACACTGGGACATCAGGGTATAAAGACAAGGTCAATGGTATTTCATACAACAATAGAAAAACGACAGGTACCAAACAGACAGCAACACGAAAGACGTCGTGAACCACAAATATTTCTACACAAAATAAACGGTTTGCTGTTGAAAGTATCAATATAGTTGAACATGTTGGTAAATTGTATAAGAATGAACGCCCTAAAGATATTCATGTTAACAGCTCCTCCGTCGTCGTTGTATGCTATCTTGGAGGAGTTTAACTGTTCAGTAATAGACACAAGTAAAACTGACACGTAT